GAATGCCGACTATCTGATGCATGTCTTTTTTTTTTCTTTCACAACCACATTTATCGATACATCTTGATCTCCAAACTTTTCACGGTAGAAAATCAATTTGTTGCCTTTTATTATCTCGGTTCCTGTTTGCATCATGGCAGGCTACAAAGCGGCAATTATCTTCGAGAATCGACAGAGTGGACTCGAGTTTGGACGAAATTGAGGGGATTACTAAGGAAACAGGAAAAGAGGTAGCTTTCAAATGAGATATGTTCCAAATATATTATAGATTTAGATTCTCTTTCTCATCCATGCCACCTAGCCTAAGGTTTCTAATTCTTTTGTTGATATAACTTATTGTACTGTTTAGGTGACTGAATTACGTGATGGTGCAGCTAGAATTAACGACGATGTTAGGTCCGTCCGTTACGTCGTTGAAACTCTGGTGAGCCAATTGTGTAAATTTCAAATATAATTTTTTTTGCTTCCTAATCATTTACAAGGGATTGCCTTCTTCTTCTCTTCATTGTTCTCAGGAAAGTAAAATCAACCGTATCGAAGGAAAGCAGGTAGACTTTTATAATTTTATTTCAATAGCATGATTTTAATTGCATCTGGAAATTGTTTTTTTTTCGTCGTTATGTTGAGCGTTTCGTATTTTTGTCCGCCTGTAAAGGATATCACACTTAAAGGAGTCGGGACACTGTACGTTCAGTATCGGGAAAACATGAGAACCCAAGATTCCACTCAGGCATGAACCTTGAACATTCTGTTTTGTTGCAATGGGTTATGTCTAAAAGTACCCATAAATCCATTTTTCTTTAATGAATTACTGTTTCACTTCTCAGGCTTTGCCATTGAGTTCATCCAGACCAGCTCTCGAGGTAAACGATCAAATCCTTAAATCCGGTTTTCATCCTGAATTGAACGGTTTCCCCTCTTACATATGCTCTTGCAGACTGCTTCTGTTTCTCTCGAGGAATCTACTTCCCATTCATCTTCGACTTCTAATGGATCGTTCAAGGCTCGTTCTTATCTCAACTAGAATCCCATCTTGTATCGTGTTTCTATTGATTCAACCCCGGAATTTCTCACGGGTTTTGGTTCGTTTTTGGCAGTCACCCCGTCCGATACATCACGCTCAATCCTTGTCTGGTCTGAAGGTACAGGTTCTTAAATTCTTTCACCCTCTCAAAACATTTTTTTTTCTCATCTCTTCCGAACCTAAAAAAATAAATCTTCGATACGATACAAACACATAAATCAGGATGTGAACGAAGGATCTGGAACCAATGGAACACAGCCCACAGAAGCCACGAGCAACGAGCCACCTTCTGCCACGAGTTCTGGCCTGTTCGGGTTATTCTCTGCCCCGAGGATCGTGAGGACGAGAAGTGCCATCAACTCGGTGCCTTATTCGAGCAGGCCCCAATAAGAGCGTTGTGGTCGAGATTCTTCATACATAAATAATATCATGGATCAGATGAAAAAAACCAGACATGAAGTGGTCCTAGGTTTCCCTCTGTCTCTGCCTGGTCATCTGGGTTTGTGTTGTTGGAGAAAAAACTCAAAAAGGATGCAGAATTTTTGTAGGGAAGTTTCGTATATCGAATAGAGAAATATGTTATTATATGATTTTCGAGGTGAAATTGAAACACGAGACGAGGAATGACAATATTTTCTTGCACAGATATCTGTGTTTTCCCTCCATAAATAAAAAGGGTCGTCTCTGTGCCAATATTTGTGCAAAGCCCATTGGTAGGGCCCATCTAGGCCCAATAACTGGGGCCCAGTATATTGCGTGCTTCTCTGTTATTGTCTTGCGTTTCCCGCGCTTTATCGAGCGGAGCCCTCATTGTTTCGCGCGCTTTTCTGATCGGAGAGGGGAGACCAAACTGTGGGACAAGTCAAAGAAGAAGAGGAAGGTGGAGGAGGAGAAGGGAGGGGAAGCAATGGAAGTCATACGATCTCAGAAGCGTTCGTTGTCCAATGACACTGTTTCCACGATTCCGCTTTATCTCACAGCTCCTTCGCTGGAAGTCCGCCTCGAAGAGTTTGAGCTCTTCGCCATGGATCGCCTCCGAGGTTTCTCTGTTACGGACTTTATTTTTATCGCCATGGTGTAGTTAGGGTTCCCCTTGCTTTGAATTCGAGTGGAATTCGTTGGAATCGTATGTTCTAGGGTTTTGAATTTGTGTCAATTTGTTAATGATCCTCGTGACAGTTCTGAAAGCGATTTCTGATGGATTGGCTCGTGGGAGAAACCATAAGGAAATGGACGATCTGGTAAAGTCCGCTGACTTCGTCTTCATTTCGATGGCGTTTCTGAGGTTCTGGTCTTTAGTATCCATTAATGGCGTCGTTGTTGTAGGTCGAATCTCTGTGGAAAGCAAACATGAGACACTCGGATGCTTCTCAGATGGTCAACAAGGATATAATCTCTCATTTTGTTCTTCGCCTCGCTTATTGCAGAACGTAAGCTCGTGTTCTGTTTCATGTTTCGTTTCAACTCTCTACGATTTTGCTGTATTAGTTTTGCTCTGGGGTTTTCCTGATGTTGTGTTTACTTGATTTTTCTCTGAAGAGAGGAGTTGAAGAAATGGTTTCTTAGCACAGAGACTGCCCTTTTCCGCCACCGTTTCCGAGTTCTTAACTTTGAAGCACAGGTTCTGTGTCTTTCTTTGTTTGGTAGCTTTTTTATGGGCAGATTGAATCGACCGGTAAATTTCTTTTTGTGTTCCAGAGGGCGATTCTGGGGGAATTTGGGTTGCCATATAAGGCAGTCACTGGCACAGAACTTGAGGTACTTGTTGGCTCTCGAGATTTGATTATCATCACAGAAGGATAAATGTGAACTTCAGTGAATTATGAATTCATCTCGAAGGATGCAATCCTTGAAGATTCTGTGACTGTTGGGATCTTTTCACTTTTATTATCAGAATCTTATCGATGGTATGTCAAATTTGCAGAGTGTGAAGGAGAGGTTGGGGCAAGTCGTTCGTTCGTTAGGTCAGATTTCACCTAATGGTAAGACCCCGTTATATTGGTTCCATCTTCATGGTTCCTGGGCTTTTGTCTTCTAAGGACTACAGTGGCGTTATGCTTTGATCATTGTATAGCTACTAGCACTATGCTTAGTACATTGTTATTTTTGTCTCATTGTTTCTGGAGGCTCAAAATGAGCGGTGGCATATGAATTTATTTGATTGGGTTAGAGGTGATGATAGCTTTATCCAGTTCTTCAACTTCAAGTGTCGTGATTTCTAGGCTATCTTGTTTCTTCTACCCTATCTAACACAGAGTTACTCTTCTATTTTGTCTTTTGCAGTTGAGACCATATACTACAAGGTAGATCTGCATTTCCCTAGTTATTTTTGCTTTGCTTACTAGATAATAATATTCAAGTTAAGCATCCATATGGCTAATCAGTAATGAATTTGCTCTTGAATAAAGGTTCCTTTTGAAGAGGTTCCGGACCTTGTGGCAAGTCGAAGAGTATATATACATAAAGGTTTTGCCTTTGTAGCTGGGAGTCAGGTAACTCTTAATTTCCCTTTCAACTTCTGAGCATAACCCTTCAATAATATTATCTCTTTTGTTGACCGCTTTTTCTGTTATCTTCCGGCAGTTGGTTTCCCTTGTAGTCACACAATTTCGCTCTAATTTATCGAAGGCCCTCATTCTGACAAACAGGTTATTCTGGTTGCATGAATATTCCAAAATTTCCTCTCCGTATATTGTCTATTATGGGTTACGATTCTGACCACTACAGAAGTAGGTCTTGAGAAGTCCGGAACCCTGCGTGATATGAATGTTACAACACATGGATTTCTGGACCATGCATGTGTAATTCTGACTCTAAACCTTTCCTGGTATTTAACAAACACTTTTGCACAATTGTTGCAGAAAATGGACATCTACCATCAGAGAACGAGAAAAAGACCGGCTAACTCCTGTAAGTTCAGGGTTCTGTGGTTTCTAATTTCACATAGATGACTAATACTAGCTGCACATGTTTCATTCCCTTCCTTTTCCTCTTCTCTTTTTTATTTATTATTTTGGTTATTCCTTTTCTTGCTCTGGATTGGGGTTCTACGGGCATCATTCAGATAGTAGAAGCACTATTCACAAGCTACTTGGGTCATGACTATTCTCAGGTGAGGATCGTCCTTTTAAATTGGTTTTCTATACATTCTTTGGTATCAAATTAGTCATGTTGTTGATTTGTTACCTCTGCAGTCAAACGAGTACGCTGACATAACACTTAAGGACATTGATCAAGTTGCCAAGAGTGCTTTTCCGCTGTGTATGCGTCATCTATTTGAAAAGGTATGGTGCTACATGTCTCTCCTCTTTATTCCTCCTGCTTCCTCTCACTATATCAGTGGACTGCTTACCACAGCTTCGAGAAGATCACCATCTAAAACATGGAGGAAGGATGCAATTGGGCCTCTTTCTTAAGGTTTCAGATAATCCCTTCCCTATCTAAGTTTGGAATCATGAATGTAATATGTTGCAGTTGAACCTATAGGAGAGTTGAAGCCAGATCTATGTGCATTTTTCTATCAGCCAGACATCTCAGTAGACATGCATGTTCTCTTTGTATGCTTTCGTTGATTTATAGTCTAAGTCGATTTTCTTATGTAGGGTGTGGGCTTGAAGCTGGATGATGCCTTGGCATTTTGGAGGGCAGAGTTTACACAAAAGGTAGGATTGTTTTGACTGTTTTGTCATGCTAATAGCCCTCATCAATTTAGTACCTTTCTTGAAGTTTCATGCATCTTGATTCATTTCCCAGAAAAGAAGCTAGGTTCTCGTGTTTCCAATCTTCTGCCCATGTTTACGTTCTCAAACAAATTTGATTGTATGGTGATCGTGAGTAGACTGATGTCTGAGGAAAATTGTTGCATCCTAAATACAGAATTGTTGGACTCTCCTTTTTCCTCCTTTGTTCTTAGGTTGGCGCTGAGAAGTTCGAGAAACAGTATGCGTATTCCATTCGTCATAACTATGGGAAAGCAGGCAAGAGAACGGTAATTTTCTGGTTGTCTTTAAAAAAAAGTTTCTCTTGAAACTAACTTCAAGGCCCTTGTCTCCTTCCATATTACTCGAAGCTACTATCAATATGCAAGGACCTGAGGCCAAATTCACACTGCCAATGCAGGATTATACTCCTTATGCTTGTCAAAAGATCATTTCATCTGCTCCTGGTGTTGGGGATCATCATGGCTGTCCTTATCGGCATTTCAGGTCAATATGCTTGCTGACTCTTATTCTCTTTTCCAAGGAAAAAAGTGGGATGTAGCTCGTAGGGATTGGCACCTGACAAGATCGCGTTAAGACACTTTGTCCATTTATTATTTCTTTGGATTAAGCATATTTGTGCCTAGTGCAACCTTTTTCGAGACCTCACAACTAACTTGTGGACTAAGTAGAATGCTGAAACTTCGAATATAAATGTGTGCTGCTACTTAGAAAGGGGCTTGAAAGCTGCAGAGTTTCTAGTGTTCCTTTTGTATACAGAAGTTTCTACGCACTACTGCAAAGGCCTATACGTATATTCAATGTGTGAATCATTAGACGAATATAAAAGTGATGGTTCTCACAAAAAACTGCTAACTCCTTTTTATGGTTTTTTATGACAGCGAGGAAAACCTGAGAGCGGCAATTGGTAGAATGGGATTGAGTTCTCGCGCAACAGAAGATGTAATGGACAAAGTCCGGAACAGACACTATCAGGTGATCCGACAATTTCCCCGAAAACCCATCTCTAAAAACTATAGCTTTTGTCTGAAGAAAATTAACATGATGGCTCGTCTTTTTCATACTCAGCTCGCATGCACATTGACTTTCGAAGCCGTGTATGGCACGTCGTGTGATGCTGGGATCAACCATCCGAACCAGTATTTCGACGAGAGCCAGAAGGTTTTGAAATCCAAAGAAGTAGCCACTTAAAGGTAATGATCTCTTATTGCTCTCTTATGTCCAACCGTAGCAACTACTGCTTGAGTTCATGGCCGAATTTGGTGATTGGAAGAAAACCCAAAATTCAAAGTTAGGTGCAAAATATGTTTTTGATCAAATATACACTACCAAGTCTAAGATCTGAAACAGAAAGTGCTATGGAGATGATTCCTTGTTTTTGTAACATTAGTAGCTATGATTGGTCCCTTATTAAATTATATGTTAATTTGGTAGGTGTGTTAATGGAATGGTGCATCAAATTAATTGGTGACTTTGGGGTTTTGTCAGAATATAGTAATTAGTGTAACCAAAAACTGCAAATGATGAAAGCAACTGTGGGGGGGTGTGGTGGTTCACCGCCCCCTCTTCCATGCCTCACCATGAAGTATGAATCCATTGGTCACTCAATGATGATTCACTCTCTATTTTTAGGTTTTTTTGGGATTTGACCACTCAATATAATATTTGTTTATTATTTATTTTTTCCTACCAATTATTTTCTGTTTCTGTCGGGGTTTGGACCACCTTTCTTTGAATGTCGTGTCGAGCTGACAAAACTCGTGATGTCTCTTTCTTTCTTTTGTTTTTTTAAAAATATTTTCTTCTTAATCTGTGCAAATTTACTTTCTTTGTCGTTTACCACTTTATGGTTTATCATCTCCATTGAATCGATGAGCCACGCAGATCTTTTGAATGATGGGTGTTGGGATTCGCAGGTGAAAACGATATGATGAAACAAAAAAAAAAACATTAGATTGAGTTCACCTGCAACATTAATTAAAAAGATTCATAGATTTTGGCCTTAACACAAACGTGGGTATGAATCAATTTGTTCTGTGTGTGGATTTCCCATGTTTGTTTGATAATTGTATTGGATATTATATGTTTTGTGGATTCTTTTAGTTCATAGATGTTTACATGTCTGGAACTCGATACACCAAGAAAGATGATCAATATTTTGATGAGATGAATATGAATATGCATAGGAGTTGCTGTACAAACACAAAAATCAAACTAAAAGGAATAACATTTAATCAAATATAAAAAAAATCATATTAAGATATAAGTTTAATACATTAATTGAATAAAAAAATTGAAATTTGAAAAAAATAATAATTTTTTTCCTGAAAATAATTATTTTGTGATGAAAATCAAGTTGAATCTGAATAGAATTTAAATTAATTCGAACCAAATCTTACAAAATTTTAGATTTAAAGGGAAACAAAATGCATGTCCCTAGATATACATATTATATTCAGCAATCCAAGCAAAATCCAAAGGCTACCCAAAATTTTGCCTTCAAAAGTTCTACCCAAATAAATGTCCGAAATATCTATTCATTCCAAGTATCATAACAATATCCAATATCCAAATAAATGTCTGAAATAAGGTTCATATAATACACTAACCCTCGAATAATAATAATAGACCTAATTGGACCAACAAAGGGTTTTTGTGTTTTTCCATGCAAATATTATGATGGATCCTTATCCATAGAAACCTGCGAATCATAATTCAAAGTTGCACTAATAATTGCCCTTTTTCCTTATGACTGCACACCACCCTCCATTATGTAATTTAACATTTCAAAACCCTAAAAAAAGGACCCTACAAAAGCTATACAACTAATCCAACGCATTGGTTCTTTTATAAATGGAAACCACCAAAACCCCACACGACACGAACCCTCCCGAAGTGGAAAGCCAAACTCCCTCCACCAGTGGAACATAACATCAACTGAAACTACTTTAAAACTAGCTTTGGTCTCTCTCTCTCTCTCTCTGTGTCCGTACAACCTAGAACTCTCCACATGGAGGCATTCCCCTCGACGTCATCTTCTTCTTCCAATCGCAAACGCGGTCTTGGAGGGTCTGCATCTGCGTCTGCGAGCTGTTTGGTGGACGATTGCACCGCGAATCTCAGCGTCTGCAGAGATTATCACCGTCGCCATCGAGTTTGCGAGTTTCACTCGAAATCCCCAATGGTTTCCATTAATGGTCGGTCCATGCGATTTTGCCAACAATGTAGCCGGTATATATACTAACGTTTTCTCTACCTCCTTTTTTTTAAACGTGTTTTTTTTATACTTTCTTGATATGAGTTATTGTTGTTGTTGGTTCTATTGGTTCAAGTCCGGTACAGAAAATGTTGGTGCAAGGACCGGTTTAAGAAACTAAAATGGATTGATTTACAGTTTGTATGTTTCAGTTTTTTAGGATAGTTATTAGTAGTGGTTTGTGGTTTTATGTAACTTCTATTAGCAGTTTTTTATTTTGTTTTTATAAATACGTGTATGGACATATGTGTAGAAATGGAATGAAGTGATATTTGCAGAGAAATAGTTCTTGTTTTTATGTCTTCCTTTAATTCAAAGAAAGAGTGAATTGAGAGAGAGAAACACTCTTTGAGAGGAATTAAAAGGAAGATAACAGTGGTATCAGAGCGTTTTGAGGTCTTTCTGGGATCTGTGGATCGAACATGGATCAATCTGAAAATTCGGTGAATTCGGCTTTAAACATGGTTGCCCCGATCTTCGACGGGGAAAACTATGAGGTTTGGGCCGTCAGAATGCAAGCGTTTATGGAGGGTGCCGATCTTTGGGAAGCTGTTGAGGAGGATTACGACGTTCCTCCATTACCGGTAAACCCGACGACAAACCAACTTAAGAATCACAAAGAGAAAGTGATGAGGAAGGCGAAGGCGAAATCGTGCATGTTTGCTGCAGTTTCTCCCTCAATCATGATCAAGATTATGAAGCTTCAATCGGCGAAAGGTATGTGGGAATTTCTGAAAAAGGAGTACGAAGGGGATGAAAAAATTCGAGGATTGAAGGTTCTGAATTTGCTGCGAGAATTCGAACGACAGAAAATGAAGGAAAACGAGTCTGTGAAAGATTATATCGATCGTCTTGTCGATATAATCAACAAGGTAAGAATTCTTGGCACCGAAGTTGATGATGTTAAGATTGTGCAGAAAATTCTGGTTTCTATTCCGGAAAAGTTTGAAGCAACGGTGGCATCTTTGGAGAACACTAAAGACATGGCGAAAATCAAATTGTCAGAGGTTCTTTGTGCCCTTCAAGCGCAAGAACAAAGGAGGTTTATGAGAAAGGAGGAGTCTATGAGAAAGGATGAATCGGTGGAAGGTGCTCTAATAGCAAATGCAAAAATAAATTCTACAGGAAATGAAAAATTTGGTGAGCAATCCATTGAATCGTGCAAGCATTGTGGTAAGAAGGGTCATCCACATTGGAGATGTTGGAAAAGACCCGATGTTAAATGCAGGAAATGCAATAAAATGGGGCATGTCGAGAAGATTTGCAAAGAAAAGAATACTGAAAATGTTGAAATTGAAGCGAACAAGGCTGAAGAAAGTGAAGTGGAACAACTCTTTTGATTAACATGGTTGAGAGACATTGAACCAAGGAGGAGTGTTGGTTCTATTGGTTCAAGTCCGGTACAGAAAATGTTGGTGCAAGGACCGGTTTAAGAAACTAAAATGGATTGATTTACAGTTTGTATGTTTCAGTTTTTTAGGATAGTTATTAGTAGTGGTTTGTGGTTTTATGTAACTTCTATTAGCAGTTTTTTATTTTGTTTTTATAAATACGTGTATGGACATATGTGTAGAAATGGAATGAAGTGATATTTGCAGAGAAATAGTTCTTGTTTTTATGTCTTCCTTTAATTCAAAGAAAGAGTGAATTGAGAGAGAGAAACACTCTTTGAGAGGAATTAAAAGGAAGATAACAGTTGTCTGTGTGGAGGTTCCAAACGTTAATGGAGTTCGACAACGAGAAACGAAGTTGCCGGAAAAGGCTCGACGGCCACAACCGTCGCCGGAGGAAGAGGCAGTCCACCGTTCTTCCCATAGTTTCTAGAACGTTCCTTTTCTCTACACATAGTTTTATACAACAAAATCATTATAAATAATTTTATAATCTTATCATGCACATATATTATATATTTTGTTATACCACACTTATCATCATCCTCTTCAAATCTTGATCATGGAACGTTACAACGTTTTTCATTCACTGATATTTTTTGTACACGCACTAATATATGTGTATATATCGTCAGGTCCATGCCTCTTGGAATTCGGCGGTCCAGCTGGGACATTTTCGACCAGTAATCCGACAAATGAATCAGGTTGTAGAGAGTTGGGTTTAAGTTTCACCACAACATCATCAGAAGATTCGAAGGTTCTAGAGTTTTCGACAAGAACACGAAGCCTCCTCGAGAAACAGCAGTTCACATTCACTACAAGACGCTTCGACGACGAAAGTGCTCACTCTCTTCTGTCTCAAAGATCTCATCAGACAAATCTCGAGATGGGTTTTAGCCACGTGGCGCATCCTCAGCCGGAGGATCTCCCTAGCCCTAGCTTGCTCTTTGGTTATCACAGTAGTATGGCGATCAACGGTGGTGACCATGGTCGGGCTAAATTTTTTTAATATCAATTATGTGGAAATCTCCGAAAATTCGCCCCCTGGATTACGAGTAAATTGAACTAATTAATGAGCTTAATTCTTATGTATTTGTCTTTAATCTTTTATGAGTTGAATGATTAAAACTTGTGATTATTTAATGCATTCGGACATTCATTTGCAGTTTAATGTTTTTCCAAAAAAACTGAAACACTCGTGTTTAAAGGCCAATTTTGGGATTTTATCACGAGGGCCATTATATGAAATAATGGGCTGTTACAATAAGGTGGGCTTTATCATGGGCATCAAGGGCCTAACATCACAAATCCTTAAAATTAAATTATTTATAATATTGTTATTTGTTTAATATAATTACCAGCTTTCCAAATTAATATGCCTAACTTTAAAATTCTTATAAGAATACCCAAACTTTTAAAATCTTGGTAAAATTAATGTAAAATTAATGACTCTGAAAAAGTAAACTCACACGATATTGCTTTCAAAAACTTCCCAACTGATTCTATTCATTTGTAAAGAACATGAATTACAACTCTTTTTTGTTCGAGTCTAATCCATCCCAAGAACACAACTCCCCCTGAGTTTGTTCTCCCTTACAACATGAATTCTATCAGCCCATACACTATGTGTGCCTCGCACACCCCGTGTAACCCTAGACTCGTCTAGGCCCTTTGAGCGGTTCGCCTGTTTTTGAAGGCTCCCCCTCAGATGCACTTCACTCTCTCTCAAGTATCACTCACCCGTGTTTCCCCCACCTATGATTCCCCAGCTCGTTTGCTCTTTACTCTTTTTTCTGTTCTGCTGGGATCATCTCTTCTATTGTGCACGCCTCTATATTTATGTTCAGCCTCCTGCATAGGGTTTCCATTTCGTTTCATCATATTTGTTTTTCCTTTTCTTTATCTTCATTCCTTTTGCTTACTCTTTCCATTTTTCTTCAATGGCATGTTTCCTTTTCTCTTGCAAGTCATTCCTTTGCTGGTTGTTCCTTCCCTTTTTTTATATTGGCATGTTTCTCTTTTTATCTAAAATCTTCTAGATGTTAAATCTTCTCTTGGTGCTCTTTCCTTCCATTAACAGACTCTAAATAGAGGCGAGACAAGTTTATATATTTTTCGAAAATTTTAAAATTAGTATATTAATCTTTCATATTAATTTTTTCAATAAAATTTTCTTGTGTGAGATCGCTTTCTTGAAATATCTATTCGTATATTTCATCAAAAAATATCTATTCGTATAGTGTTACATTTATGTAAATTGGACTAATAAAATATGTAACCATAATTTATATCAATGCTTTGCAAAATGGGAATTGCGTTATCTCTGGGTGTGTAATTCAAGGTACAATATGCTTGTTTAACCAAAAAAAAAAGATACAATATGCTTGGTGGACCGACAACAGTCAGGAGAATAAAAGTATCTCTAGTTTTTATATATATATATTTCATTATTCTTCGACCTTAACAATATACGTGAACTATATTATAATATACATATTCATATTCTCTAGGATTTTATCGATCATCTATGTTAATCATTTCTATATAAATTTATAATTTAAAATAAAATTGGTGATACTTATGATGGTAAGGAGTAACTAAATCTTATTGGATGAACATTTGGAGATTATACAGATAATTTTTGTTGACCTCAAATTTTCATATCAAAACAAGAAGAATTTTAAAAATTTAAGTCTCTATATGCTTAAATTTTAAAAAGTAATCGGACTAAAAATTGAATATTCATGTTAATAAAGAAAACCTATTTCATCAAATTTGAGATGTGATATGGTTCCGAACGATGAAGTGGATATAGACAGTTTTAATCAGATTTCATTTTTAACAAAAATTCATTTTTATTTATTTATTTCATCTATTCCATTAACGAAAAAATTAAATAAACATTAAGCAATAATTTTGAGTCGGAGGAGAGATTTCAAGAAATGATAGATCTATTCATCTATCAATAACCGAGACAGAACTGGTGTATCATAAGAGATTTACCTTTTATATTGATTCTTACGGATGAGATCAAAAAAAATTTTTAAAAAAGATTTTCTACTAAAAAGATGAATCGAAAAAGAAATTTTTATTGATTCTACCTTCCATTTTTATGAAGAAAATATATTTTTTTATCGAATGGTCAGAAAAAAATAGGTATGAATCTCGCCAAAATGATTTGGAAGATCCAAAACAAAAAAAAAGAAACAAATTTGCTGGTAACAACATACCGGAGATAGTCAATCAATATAGTTCACTTGAAATCGAATTTAAATCCAATTTCAATATTGTATCTATGGATATGTGTATATAAAAGATGTATAAAGGGATCAAATAGAAAATAATATTCTGAATTCTAAAACTATAATGAAAGATACGATTAACCAACATTTATCGAATTTGAAAAAAAGTCAAAAGAAATGATTCGACCCTCTTATTTTTTTCTCGAACCGCGAGATTCATAAATCGGGACCCTAATACATATAAATACAAATGGTCCAATGAGATCAAGAGTTTCTAATAGTATTTGGAACATTTTGTTTCTGAGTAGAAGAGTCGTTTTCAAGTAGTGTTCGATCAATTATATATTAATCAATATTCGATTGGTTGGTCCAAGGTCATTGATAAAAAAAAGGTTTGTCAAGTCACTTCATTTTTTTTGGTCCAAGTTACATCTTGATCAATGGAATAACAATATCGCTATTTTTGTTCAATAAGATACCAAAGTGGATATGATACGATCCTAGATCGGTTACTCTAAGTAGAGTGGGTGAAACCGCAACCCGAAGTTTACACGGAGTAGAAAATCTTGGTATAAGTCCTCGACCCAATAATCAAAATGAAACAACGAACCTTGTATAGTGAAGGCGGCACAAACGGAGCTGGAAATTCCGCTTGATAAGCCGAGATTGAACGCCACAGATAGAAATCCAATAAGTCCAGAAAGTTCTCAAAGAACTAGAGAGAAATACTATTAAACTCACATGTTTATGCTTCAATGGTCTCTTACAAATGAGATATGAGGTGTTTTATATAGGCTTACAAAAGAGAAAACAATGATGAAAATTTTGAATAAAAGAGAAAACATAATAATGTTAAAATTTGAATAAAGATGGTTGATTGAAACTTTTGACTCTTGATTGGCCACCATCCATACCTTTTGAAAATTGATTGGCACTTTTGACATTTGATTGTCTCCACTTTTGACTTTGGCAATTTAATTGGAAGATAGTGGATTTTATGTCATCGCTTATGTCATCTCCTCTTTTGGGATTTCTAAAAGCTTTATTAAGTTTATGGGCTTGAAACTTGAGCCTTTGTCATGGATTGGACTTGTTGGGACTTCCTAGGATCTCTATAGCGAATATAATTCCTAATAGATCGGTTCTAGGATTTGCGCAACGGATGTAAAACAAAAATTTTCTATAAACCCTAAAACCAAGGATGCATGATTTCGTAGAAACGTTAGAACGCTTACCTCAATCGATCCGGGGCCTGTTTCCATTGACGTGTTCGTCCGATCACAAAGGCAGGAAGATTATCTCGCCCTTTACACGTATCCACACGACGGAAAGGATTCCAACGGATTGGAACTTGTTTGTTAGGACTGAAGAACTCGTTCTCCAATCGCAAGGGTTTCAGGGATCTTTCTCTTCGTTTTCCGATCTCAAAAACCTCTGAAAAAAGTTTAAGAAATCGTCCTCCAAAGATTAGGAGGCGTTCACCTAGTGTTGGTTACCCCAAAACCCTAATTAGAATGAGATAAATAATTTTCGATGTCTGGACCGATCGGTTCAGCCTCTGGACCGATCGGTCTGGAACTTTTCTCGCCTGGACCGATCGGTCTGGAACTTTTCCGGACCGAACAACGCTTGTTCGCAATCTCTGGACCGACCGGTCCACACGTCTGGACTGGTCGGTCTGGCCTCCGTGCCACCGAGAATTTCTCGTCTTTTCTTGCGCATTTGTCATTTTCTATGTGTATGACCCTGTAGGCTCATCCGATATAGCAGTATAACCCGAAATCTCTATTTCGGATATACAAATCATAGGCGGTCTCAAGCAAGACACTATGACTACCTATTTCGAATAGAGTTTGTTCGTCATCTTACGAACGTCGGTGATGATTCCGGTTGATGTTCCTTTTGTGTCACGATATCATATGTTGAACATAAGGCATGGAAAATCCACTTTATTTGATTCGACTGCTTTCTCGTTCACTGAATTC